GACGAGTGATTCCATCCATACCGCCTGACATGGTATTCTTCTAGAAATAATCTATCGGGTCATCTTGCAAGTAATGCAGCTCTGATATGCGATACTAGCCTTAGCTGAACCTCTTAAGAGATTTCAGGAAGCATTAGGTATTTCACCTCTTGGCTCGTAATATCGGAGTCGTTACGGAGATTTTAGGTAGATGCTGATAAATATGGAAATTTGTTGCTTTTATGGTGCTGACTTAAGGAACTTTCTTTTTATTGATCACTTAACATTTTGTAATGTACAAATTATGTTCTGTTAGAAGTGTGATAATTTACAATTTACCGCAAGTTTTGAGTAATGTATAGGATAGTGGAGTAAATAATACATTTTGGATAATGTAACATATGAATATAAGTAACTCTGACAACGTATAACAGACTATAATATAATTGAAAGCGATAATTTAATAATTATTTTTATTTTCATTACTTTAGTGCGATATTATGAAGTACTCAGATGCAAACTTTAACCTCAGAAACACTAAAATTAATTGCCATTTTTGGTATCACTATTTGCAATTTCGGAAATATTTCAGTGACACTGAAAATTCGAGATGTTTTAATAATTATATTCTTAATTTTGGAAATATTTCAGTGAATATCAAGTTCCAACATTCAAATCACATTGCGGAGCACAAGAAGAATCCTCAATTGTCAGAGGGAACGAGTTCTCCAGCTCGATACGCGAATCGATGGGGCAATAATTGTTTCCCAGAGTTATATTATCTGGCAGAAATTGTTTCCTCAATTATTATAATGATCCCGATGGCGCGTTGCCAGCGGAGTGAGTCGAGGGGCGACGTACAAAAGCATCCCCCAAACGGAAATTCTTTTTTCAAGCATCCGTTCGCGTCTCGGATACCTTGGCATCGTTCGCAAATCCTGGCGTCGCGTCGCGTCGCGTCGTTCGCAAAATATGACGGTGTGTCCGCGGATCGGGCAACAAGGTCACCCGTCATCCCTTTGAAAGCCCGAAAGCTCGTGGACGACGGTTTTCGGCGGCGTGTGTCCTAGACAGAGGTCAGCTTCGAGTTTTTCGGCTGGCCGAAGGAAGTTAGTCGTTCTTCCGTCATAGTTCAGTCTTTATTGTCTCCTTGTGTTGCAATAAAAATGATATACACCTGACCCTTGATTTGCGCGAAAATCCGTTTCACATGGATTCGTTTAACGCAACTGGAAATCGCGTGAATAGAGTCCGTCGATATAAAAGAAAACAAAATATTGGGAGGAAAAGCTGGTATACATTTTAGAGATATATATTCATTTCGCATAACCAAACAAAATAAATCATAATAATTATATTCCAGAAGATGAAAGTATATTTTATTTTGTGTTACTAAATGTAGACCAGAATATAGAAAATTATCGCATAAATAGTATTCTAATTTACTATATAAAAAGGAGACTCGCGTGAAGAAAGTTCGCGTAAATCGAGGGTCAGTTGTACGCGTGACCAATGCTAAGATATACTCGTACAGTCCGGGTTTCACCTTTCTTTTTTTCCTTTCGCAACGCATCGGCTGTCACTTTTCTCGAAACGATTTCTCGACATTTACGCAAAATGCGATCGTGGCAGATAATCGACGCCGCGGCGATTTATGGGTTGATTTCGGATGGATTCGATTGGCTTCGTTCTACTCGGCGAGTTTTAATTATGCTGGGGGTTTTCGGAGTACTTCGGAATACATTAGAACCCCGTGTAATGCGATTAAAGAATTCCTTGTTTGTAAACGATTTCACGTTTACTAATCTCGCGTTGGTAATTAATACGAAAACTACTAGACGGGTCAAAATGACCCCTTCCTGATTTCTTCTCTTTGTAATTATTAAAATGATAACAGATGTTTCTCTGAGAAATTATTAAAGAAGTTGACGTAGCAATGCGCAAACGGAATTGAATATCAATTGTAGTCTGAATAGATGTACTTTTTGAGTTTCTGTGGAGAAATTTCAAAAAGTCAATTTAACTGCTCGGTAGTTCCAGTGTTAACTGGTCCAACTTCTTTTTCTGATTGTATTGCTTTCTTATGAAAAATTTCACTTTTATGGTTATCATTTAATAATATTCTTATTGCTTTATTGGGGGTTCTATGTGGTTGTTGTTCTAGGTTGTACGTTGGTGTGATAAATTGTTATAAATGAATTGGTATGGGGATGAATTAGACTTTGATCTAATGATAAAGCAATAAAGCTGGATAACTTCTTGTTGGAAGTAATTGTTTAGACTGACATGTTTCGAATTGTTTGTTTGGGTATTTTTTAGTAGAAGCTGGTCGTTGTTATTTATAGTTATTATAGATAATGATTATTAACGTAGATAATTGATTAAGTATAGTTATTTTAAATAAATGATTGGAGCGAAATAAAAATAGTGTATTGAAGATAGTGTCAACCCTTACCTTCTTATTATTTTCTTATTATTGAAGAATATATTTTCAATGACTGTGATATACTCCGCCTAAAATCTGTTTCTTATCATATTAAGTCACCTTCCTAATAAATTATTAAATTATTGAATTCAAAGCAAAAATTCAATTAAATAACATTCAAGTATGAATATTATTCACTTAATATCTAATTTTCTTTTCTACTCATAAATGTTTAAAATTTGCAATAAATTTATTTATAAAGCGAATGTCTATATACAGGGAATGAAGACTGATAATTGTATAAAAATGGTTGTTTCAAAAATATTGTAAGAAAAGTTCGATATAGAATTTCAAAAAATCGATGAAGATGTAAAATTTCCAACGAAATGATCCAAGCAGCTCGTCAGCACAGTAAAAACTTCAAACCCGTTTTTCCTCGAAGCACATTTCTCTTTACGGTGGATGTGACAACTCGAGCTACATTCAACTAATTGACTTCGAACGTTATATGGGTTCCTAATAAAATTCTACATCTGTTAACGGAGCATTTTTCAAATTTGTGCTTCCATTTCTTAGTTTATAAAGAGAGTGGAATGTTTCTTGCATAAAAGGTAACTCTTGTTTAAAGTGCTGCCACTTTTTTATTTTTAAAAATTTAAGAAGAAGCTCGAGTAGCAGATACAACATGAACATCATGTAAATAATAATAAATTTACTTTTAAATGTTATATTTATTCAGTTACCTTCGCTCTTCAATTATAAAAAGTTAATATACTTAAAGAGTCGATTAATTTATATAATTGTAAAGTCCATAATTTTCGTTTTGAAATTTACTAATTGCAAACTAATATTTTCTAAAATTTATGAATTACCTAAGTTATATAACATTCATAGAAGACTGTGTGCATAGGCAGGTAGTCTAGCATAAAGCAATCACGCCTGAATAAAAACCTGAATTTCTTCGATTAATTAACTATGAAAACACGAAACAAAGAAAATGAGTCATTATTTGTAAAATTTGCATCACCGTCACGAAACTTTATGCTTCGATTGTTAACGCTTTCACATCCATTTTTAAGTTTAATTACTCAGCATTCCAATCAAACTAATATTGTATTATATTTCAAAAGTGATGTGTAAAATTAAGCAACACTGAATGTTACCAATTTATCATCCCTTGTACCTTATTAACGAGATGAATCTCTTTATTAAATCATCCTATATAGACTACTTGTAGATAACATTTTCAGTATAAAAAAATGACTTTTTAAATTATTAAAATTTAAATTATCTTCTATTTCTATAATTTATTTCTCAACCGTTTTAAAATTCTGTCTAAAATATAATTATTTCATTTATATTCACTCAACACTTTGATTATCGACAATTCCTTATCCACGCTCGAAAATTCATTCTTATATTAACAAATTCAATGAATTAAATTTTATATTATTAAATTTCAATCCCTACGATAAATCTTGACGTCTTAACATTTCTTTCATTAAATCAATTGTTTCGCATATATTATTTAAGGATGCTGGTTCGACAAACAACACGTTAGTTCAAATAGTTCAATATGGCGAGTTGTTACACAAAATCCTTATTAGAATTATTAATGTCCCTCTAGTTACTACCGTAGGCTGTTTAACGATTTCATGATCTAATGCTCACCTTGTTCTTATTATTTATTAAAACAGTCGCCCATTAAGAGCAGCTGGAATGTCATAATAATATACAAACGGACGCACGATCATGCGGCTCGTAATTGTTACAGTGGCGAGCAGATCGGTATGCAGATGAGAAATAAACGTGCCGTTGAAGAACACACGTTAACGATGTGTCGCAAGCAACACTGTGATTTCGCAAACACGTAACAGCACAATTGCCCATTTTCTTCGTTCTTTTCGCATCGCGAATGCCGTGCTTACAATTAGTCATATCACGATAACAGGGATGCTTGAATGATTCCCACGTTTTATTAACACTTAAATCATCGTTCTGAGATATCTCCTTTCTCCATTTGCTTCGTAGATAGTTATTAAATACTCTACACATCCGTAGCAAATTGCTGTATTTATTTTGAAAAAATTCTATTAATGGTAATTATCGGTAAATTTGATAAGAGTATAAATCATCTGTTCATTTATTCTTCATCCTTGAATGAGAAACTCGCCAGTCTTTAAGAAACGGTACCCGAGATAATATACAGCCGTACAAATTTTTTGAAGAGTTTTATTGAAAAGTTTATAGGACAATTATAATTTTGTTTTATTCTACTTATAGGGAGAAATTTTTATTTTTATTAAACATTCTTACTTTAGTGTTAAAAAAAATTAAATTAGGCTTCTGTTTTTTTTAAATTTCTTTATATCTCCTTCTGCTTTTACCTATAAATAATTCAACGGTATAATTTATTAGTGACAATAATTTGTCCTTTTTTTATTGAGAAACTAAACATTTAAGTTAGAATTTAAAAATTTTAAATAATCGGGTTAGAACTAGACTTTTTCATTTTCACTGATATTCCAAATATTCAAAATACTTAGGATACTTCATTATTTAAACACTTTATTGAACATTAAATATAATCATCAGTATAAGATACCTTTTACGAGAAACTTCATTCTTATATCACTTCAATATACATTAATAAACAAACCAAACGGTTTCTTTATCTCGCTCTTACCTCGACACTAATACATCAATAACTCAATCAATATTAACAAATGAAAAATAGTTTCAACTTAATCCAGCACGATATCAAAACATTAGTAACAATTCCAATACAAAAGAATACTAATTAATCCATGAATAAATTCAAATTAATAACAGACCTCGTGTCAAAGTGATTAACATCGTTTGAATCATCTCAAAATATAGTATCTGAGCTTCTAATCGATCCTTCAACAATATAATCCGATCAGTTTCCCGAACTTTAATTTCACAAACTTCAGCAAATGTATGTCTGGATAGTAAAACCAGCTCGAAATTTCAGATAAAAATATTCACTTGAAAAGTGAGCTAATTTATTTGGGATGGACTGACAGCGAAATTGTTGAGGCGAGCTACGGTGATCGTTCGTGCTCGGTGTTCCCGGTAATGAGCACGAATTCGTGTCCCGAGTGATTGCCGACACCTAACCCAGACCGACGTAATAGTTCTTTGAAAAGTTCAATGCACACACACGTAGATACACACATACCTGTCCAGGGAAACCGCAACAAGGCTGTAAACAGAGGCCGCCACGGAAACGCCCTGTATATAAGCGACAGCTTTGCACATGAACCATCCCAGGAACCATGCTGAAACACAAGTCGACGGTTTAGTGTTTGACGCTGCGCGATGCAGTAGGTTTACGAAAGACAAGTCTATTTTTCATTTTAAAAGACTGCCTTCGCGCTGTAATCACGAGTCTATTTTTCATTTCAATAGGCTGCCGTCGTGTTGCAATCACAAGTCTATTTTTCATTTTGAAACGCTGTCTTTGTGTTGCAATCACGAGTCTATTTTTCATTGTAAAACACTGTCTCCGTTCGTGTCAGACTCCTCCATTTTTAACGCTCCGCGCACAAGCTTTTAACATTAGAACTGCCGAGCATTTAATACGATTCATATGTAATCCGTGTAAAAACTGTGACAATAGATTATTTTCAGTTTTTTCGAATATTGATTATAGTATTGAAATGAACCTATTTATTTGTGAAATCATGTCGAATATTCCATGCTTTTAAGGTGTCAATAATTGGGAAACAAGGAAATCGAAGTAATTTTGATTGATACGTGGTTTTTGGAATGGTTTTTGAAATTTTATGCTATTTACATTTCGTTTCTTTCATAGTTTTCAAAGGTAATATTAATAAAATGGTACGAAACTTCAGTTGAAAGTAGAATTTATTCATTTATAAACCTTCGTTCGGTGAATATAAATTATTTTCAAATAATTATTTTCAAATAATTTTCAAATAATATTTACTTTATATATTTTTTTTTATGTAATTTCAAGTTATATAATGTATCATTTACCACATTATGAGTCATGCTATTAAATAGTTGATATACTGGTTACTTATAATTTGGCAGGTGATCATTTTCATAAAGTATATTGCTTAATCGTACAATAAATCATTATTACAATTTCTTTTCTAAAATTCGTAAGTATTTGAAGCAACACCGTCACGATGATAATTGCTCATAACTTTACATAATTTCCGACGAAATCGGATAACTTTTCTCAATCGTTTTTTCGATATTTGCGTGATATGAAAAAAACATATTGCAACGTGCATACATACAGATGCGTGTGTTGCTCAATATCGATTATCTGAAAAGTTGGGTTTAAGCATATAAATGGGAAAAGTAGGTGCCTAGTTGGAGCACTTGCTTTATGTTATGAATAGTAATGGCCACGCATAAAATGCCCACGCAGTGTACATGAATTGGAACTTTCGTCGCTGCTAGTTTTATTATTGCTCTGAAGCGGGGAATCACCATTATTCTCGAAACATTTGGGGTGTAACTTTCATTGCAGAAGACAGTCGTGTAATAAAGGACTACTAATATTTTCTGTTAGCATGAAATATACATTACTATATTAGTAACAAGTAGTAATAGTAAAAATTAAATACTTAAAAATGATTATTATATTACGTAAAAATTATTATTATTATTATATGAATAGGAAAATATTATATTGTAAATTATTAAAGAAACAGTAATTTTTTAGTAAACGTAATCTGAGTATCATTGGTTAAACTTAACTAACGATATTTTGAAAAATATCTTTTGTATAAAATATAAACATTGATATTATTATATTTATAATGATAGTAATAATAATTTATTATTATTATATTTAGTATGTGATTAATAAAAAATTGAAGGAATTATTGAAACTGATAAAAGTCATTCTTAATATGTTGCGCATACTTATTTACGTTGTTAATGCATACGATATTAATGTTTACTAATCTCGAATGTGCATGACACAGCGTACTATTGGCAAGTGTCAAATAAAAAAGAATACTTAGAGTCACGTGCTTAGCTTAATTGCATAATAATCCTATTTTTTATCATAATCACACTGTAACTACGGCAAATTAAATAGAACGTGCTCATGTGCAACGCAAATTGACTCAAGTTGTTTTGCTTACGATTTATTGTCCTTCGAACACATCGCGTTCGAAAGTCAGTTATTCATTAATGAGTCACGAGCCCACGATTACCAATTTTAAAAAATGAAGGGAATGTATTATTTATTGCGTTGACTGTGTAATATCATTCATTTCCATAGATTCCAACGCGTATTCCACAGCAAAAACATTGTACTACAGGAATAAATGCTAATGTTAGTTACCAAATCACGAACAAATGGGTTTGAATGCAGCAAAGTAATTCTTGGTTTAAATTTTAAAATATTGTTTACAGGTCTCACTGTTGAAATAATATAGAATCATAAAATATTTCGTTCATCATGTTTGAGCTACGATGCAATGATCAATTATATGAATTATCTCATTGACAGTTGTAACAGGGTTGATATCGCAGGTATAACGAAACCTTTGACTCTCGAGCATCGTGCGCAAGGTGTTCATTTTGTTTTCCATGAGATTTTTTGTTACAAAAATATACAGGATATAACCGGCTAAAAAATCAATGTATATGAAAAGTAGATTAAAGTATTAAAAAATATCTTTTTTTAGCCAATTTCGATTTTGAAGTTGAATAATTATTTTCATTATATCTGTTATTGATTGAGTTTGGCCAATATAACTGCTGCAAACCATTTGCTTTTGACAAAATTCTTTTTTTATAAAGATTCATCATTAGGGAATATTTCATCTAGGGCTATCTGGTACAGTTATGAGAGAAAATAATCATATAAAGTGGATCATATGCAGGAATATCGATATGTTTATTTTCTCTGAACTTCTGGTAATAAGCATAGAATCATTTATCGTTTTATCTTCGGCTTGTAGATGAGAAATTGTCAACTTTCCTTGATTTTTAAATAAAACTACTATATACAATCCACATCATTATCATTCCTTTTAACTACATTAAAAAAGGTGAGCCAAAAAAATCGGTTTCTCCTCAAAACGATTAAAAGAGAGCTGAACTATTCTGATAACTTTCGATTAATAATTCTCTTGTTCGTTTATTATCATGATATCAAACAACTATACTCAGATTTTCTTTTTTTAACCCCTAACCTCATAACATCAAATAGTTTTATAACAAGGATTTCAGATTGAATTTAATGAATATAAATATTAATAGGTAGTCATCATAAATTGAAGAGAAATACAACACTATTTTTAATTCACCTATACAATAAACTTACTCCCTCAGTAAATACTCAATTTTTCCGACTAAAAAATTCTTAGCAATGAAACATTTGCAAAACAAAACACGAAGCAAATTATAAACCAAATAGATAGATGAATATCTCATCGACATTATGCCTTTATCAACAGCCATTTCTATGTTCCACATTTCTTTACCAATTCCCATTCTTCTCTCACAAGTAAAAACTGAATTTCCATTCTCAAGTTACGTTCAGACTCATTTCTCTAAACAAAATAACAAAATCACAATCCTAGAATGGAATAATTACGAATCAAAAAAATATATTACCTTCACACTAAAACTACCGAGCAGTTAAATTCACATTTTGAAATTCGTCTATAAAAACTCGAAAACTGCATCTATTGAAGCTTTAGTTGATTTACAATTCAGCTTGCGCATTGCTAAAGCAATTTCTTGAATGATTTCTCAGAGTAACATCTGTTATCTTTTTAATAATTGCAAAAGAAGGAATCAGGAATGGGTCATTTTGACCCGTCTAGTAGTTTTAGTGTTAAATAATACTTATAAAGTATCGTTACTTGATGTTTCTTTATACGATAACGTCATTTGTGGTATCGGTACCGATTGTACCACCCGCCAGGATCACCGAAAGTATTGTGTGAAGTGAAGGGTGAGCGCGAGGCCGCCTAGAAAGGAACTTCCCGTAGGCCGTAGATCAAGCGTTGCGCGAATAATTATTTATTCGACCGAATACGTAACCAGCCGGCACCGATAAGCCGCGTTGCGTGCGTCAAAATCCACTTCTGCGGAATAATAATTCGCGAGGCGAAGCGAAGGCGTGTGTTCGCGAGCGCGTGTCGTTCCTCTGGTGTCGGTGGAAGGTATTTACGCGTTTTCACGTTAACACGTTCAACGCCACGGGGAAATTCAGTTACATTTCACCTGCAAAGTGCACCTATCGACCTTTTTAACGAAATATTTAATTGTATTCTGTAACAAAGTGTATTGATTTTATAACGAAATATTTAATTACACTCTGTGACAAAGTGTATCGATTTTTTAACGAAATATTTAATCACACTCTGTAACAAAGTGTATCGATTATTTAACGGAATATTTCATTGTATTCTGTAACGAAGTGTATCGATCTTTTCGATGAAATATTTAATCCTATTCTGTAACAAAGTGTATCGATTTTTTTAACGAAACATTTAATTACATATCCGGTAATACAATGTAATGATTTTTAAACGAAATATTTAATTATATTCTGTAACGAAGGGTATGGATTTTTTAACGAAACATTTAATTCTGTAAGCTTCCAGTGGTTTTTAAAATGAAAAAGACGTATCTTTTTCCAACCAGTACAACAACAGCTAATGAATAAAATTATATTGTGATAGACAAAGATATTTTGGTAAACTGTACAAAAGGGAAGTGAACAGAAGAAAATATATTTTCTTATAAAAGTTCGCGTGTAAGGTTCGTTAAAATGTTTTCAACGAATGATGTTGAAAAATATGTTTCAAGTGCCAAGGCAAATAAATTAACAGAAATGTGATCTCGTTAGGGTTCGGAATTGTGGTTGGTACTTTTAATACGGCTCAAAATTCTTATTATTTTCCTCGTTATTATTTCTTTCTTATTATTTTTTAAACACACATTTTCTACATGGTATAATATTGTACTATCGAATGAATCAAATTTAATGCAAATTTGTTCATTTAAATAAAACACTGTTACTCTAGGAACATTTTACTTATATTTACGCTAATACAATACATGGACGAAAATACATCAATAGCAATTTTTGTAGGTGTAATAAAGAAATCATGATATTAAGGGTTAATTTACGATCTCGTTATATCGTGGCGATGACTGTACTATCGCATTGGCGGCGCTGAACGTGTTAACGATTATTTTATTGGCTCCTGATAATTGGGTGCGTTTCAGTGATCGGACATTTTGACGGCTAGAGGGTTTCGGACGAAGCTCG